AGTAGAGAAACAGAAAGACAGAAGAAAGACAGAAGAAAGAAGAAGAAAGAAAGAAGAAAGCAAAGAAGAAGAAGAGAGAGAGGAGAAGAGAGAGAGAGAGGAGAGAGAGAGAGAGAGAGAGAAAGAACGCAAGCAAGAAAGCAGAAGAAGAAAAAAGAAGAGAGAGAAAGAAGAGAGAGAGAAGAAGGAGAAAGAAGAGAAGAGAGAAAGAAGAAAGAGAAGAAAGAAAAGCAAAGAAAGAAAAGAAAAAGCAGAAAAAAGCCAGAAGAAGAAGACAGACAGTACGCCAGACAGACAGACAGGTAGGTCAAGTCCCAGAAAGATCGATCAGCACCTCATGCTAATAGAGAAAGATATCAAAAAAGAATAAAAAACTGAAAAAAACAAAACAAAACAAAGTCCCAGAGAGAAAAGGAGTGATCAAGTCATGTCTGTGTTGGTTGGCCAGGAACAAATGCCTTTTGGTCCATTGCTTGAATGGCAGTAAATCAGCAGCAGAGAGGGCTGAGAAACACTGATAATACCTGATTGCTACTTTTTGTTAATTTGAATTGAAAATAAAAGGACTTTGTTGAAAAATGTTTCTGAGTGATGTCTATCTCTGGAATTCTGACCCATTCATTCACTGCTTTGTGAAAATAATCAATGAATTTGGGGCCATTTTTACAAAAGGTGCAGCTCAGAATCAAGTATACTGAAAAGTAAAACCATTATATTTTGTAGACATTCACAAACAAAAATTGTTCACAATAACTATGTTTGTGCTGAATAGAATAGTAGAAATCACTTTTTCATTTCACAGATAAAGAAACTAAGACATAAGGAAGTTAAATGATTTGACTAAGGCCATAGAGCTGATTAGTGGCACTGGAACTGGAACTCATTCTGCTTTGATACTTGTCCAGATAACTTATCCTGACACAATGATTAGAATGCAGTACTTACAATCAGATGGCTCCACAAGTGTCATGCTGAGGTTCTTTTAATGGATGACTTTATAAGTGGGTAATACCTCCCCTAGACATTTCTCAGTATGAAGCATTCTATTTATTCCATGATCATGTTGGGATCTCAAGCATATGCTCAAACAAGTTCTTGATAAGAGATTACATCTTTTCTTTTTCCCCAATAAAAGCATTTAGCTCTATCTAAAAGCTACTCTGCTGTCTATACTCAAATACTTAATAGGTTTCTTTTCTGTCTAGGTTTGAATTTTTAAAAACAATACAAAGTAAACTGTGCCACAATAAGTGACTACAAACCAAATTAAAATAGAACAACATATTTAATGAGTATCCACCTGTACCAAACAGTATCTACAAACTAATTTTCCTTTTCCTTTATCCCACCACTTTAGCTACACGTAAATATCTTCTCTAATCTATTACACATGCTGGATTGAAACTAAAAATTTCCTTTTATTCTATTCCAAGTTTTATTTTTTTCTTTTCATCCAATAAATTTGTTTGTACAAGCAGAGGCATTTGGTCAATAATTTTTTACCCAGCACCTACTTACTACATGCCAGCCACTGTCAATACACTGATTTTTTATCCTACCTCTGCAATTTAATAGCTATTTGAATCTTTGGCAAACCCTTCTGAGCTCCCACAAATTTTCTCTCCCCTGTGCTAAAACAATCTCAGAATATCAAACCTAGAAGCCCCGTTTCTCCCTCTTTTAATCTATTTCATACCCACTCTACAAAATAAAATTAAATAGGCCAGCCTTTAACACAGTAATGAAACAGATTGCTTGCAGCTCTAATAAATTAAAATTCAAGTACTTAGCATGTGAAATTTAAAAATAAATGAAAGTATAAGCCATAAGGTTTATATCTCAACCTTGTTCTTAATTTCTTGTCCCTTTGAGATATTTATTCCAAACAGACTTGGGATTGTTATATGAGATTTCTTTCCTTGATAAAATCTGAGATAATCAGTCTTTAAAACTATTATAATGGGTTTTGAATCTTTGGAATCAACTAGTCCAACTTGTTATTTTACAGATGAAGAAACCGTAGTATAGAATAGTATGCAGGATAAATAAAAACTATATTTTGAAAGAGTTTGCATGACATAGGAAATGCTCATGATAGAACGTTGAATGGGAGAAAAAGGATTAAAACAATCTGTATACAATATGATCCTAATTCTTTATCCTATTTCAAGTTTTATAAATTTTCTATAAGAAACACATATCTCTTTTATAACTTAAAATATTCAAAATATCCCTTTTATGTTTTGAATCAATAAAAATATCAAAAAACGTTGTGAAAAAATAAAAGAAATATGAAGGCACCAAGAGGCACAATCGCACAGCTAACTGGAAACAAAATAAAGACAAGAACCCAGGTCCTATGGCAACCAATCCAGGACCCTTTCCACTGTACCATATGATGTCTAAGACAGAAAAATGATATTTGTTAACTGTAATATTAATTTTTTTACCACTACTTTTTGTCTCCTCAAATCTACTCACACAATGACCTTAAACAGTGCTAACATTTTATAATACTATTACCAGATTAGCCCACAGAGACAAAGCTTGAGAATTGACAGCTAATGATAATCTCTCAGCCTCTAAAGAACAAGGGCATCTGTTTTGCCATAGTCATCTTTGGAACCCTACCACATAGTACAATGCCTGGCACATAGTAGGTATTCGGTAAGTGTTTATTTTGTAAACCATAGCTTTTTATTTCCCTGCTAGCACTAGCTACCAGACTTAAATATTAGACCGAACAAAAGCAGTGAAATACCATTATTTTACATGTGGTGTCTCTAAACATTTACAAATATAAACAGGATTTACGAAATAAATTCATGTTTACAACAAAAGTAAGGAGAACATTAATGTTACTAAAATATTTCAAGCACCATACTAATTAACTGGTACATTCATTACAATAATTCTTATTGAAATGGGCTTGGCTAACCTTTAGTCAGCATTATTTTGTTAGCCTAGTTGCAATCATCGAATGCACTAGAAAGCAATAAAATTACAGGTGTTGTACAAGGGGCACTGGACTAGAAGCTAGGCTCTAGTCCAAGCCCTGTTAATAATCAGATATATAATCCTGTGCAATTCACTTTTTCTTCTTTGAGTCTTAATCTATTTGTAACAACAAGAGAGCTGATATAATGCTGGACAATTCATTTTTTCTTCTTTGAGTCTTAACCTCTTCCTAACAATAAGAGAGCTGAACTCCTAATCACTGGGGACCTTTCTAGTCTTAACTTTTTAAAAAATTATTCATATCCACAAAGATTCTATAATCCGCTTTTTCACTGTGTCAAATTTGACATTCTGAATGTTTTATATCTTGATACATTATTCAATAATCAAAAAAAACTTAGCACATTTTCTAAAAATACATAAAGACTAGTAACATATCATTTTTACCATTTTACATTAGGAGAGAGGAATAAAAGAAAACCAAAGGAGAAACATGAGTATCCAATAATCAGGCCTGCTTTGTCAGCTGAGCTGACATTAACCACACTGGATTTTACAGTACAGACACATATATGTATATAAATACATGTGCATATCATTGGTATATACTTTTTAATGCTGATATACATATATGTGTGTGTGAACTTGAAAATTTGTTTCAATTATAAAATCAATACTTGTTTATGGTAAGAAATTCAAACAGTACACTAAGCCACATATTAAGTACAAAGTAAAGTCTCTCACCCCTCTTCTCTATAAGTAACCACTGTTAACATTTTTCTTGTGTATCCTTCAAGAAATTATCTGGACAAATACAAGTACACATATGTATATGTGCATGTGTGTATAAATCTTTTTAACCCAAACTGTTGCCACTTCTTGAATGGTGGGGAGAAAAAAATCTCAAGCACTTCATAAGCATGTTGAATACACTGAAATACATCAAAAGTGATAGCACAACTAATGGCACAAAGTAGTATACTCTTCAGAAATGTGTGTTGAATTGAATACATTTCATTTTTGTGCTTGGAGGCTATATGGAGCACAGAAAGAGTGGTGGGCAAGGAGCCAGACAACCTGGGTTCTAATCTAACTAGTTGAGTAGCCTTAGGCAAGCCATGAAGTATTCTGAGCCCTCATTTCTGCTTCTGTAAAATAACAGGGTTCGAACTAAACTCCCTTCCAACTCTAAAATGTTATAATTCTAAGATGGCCGTCTGTAACAGTGTTCTCTTGAACTGGCTGTAACAAATGTTATCAAGGAAAAAGAAGAAAGACGCACTATTGAAATCTAATCTTACTAGAGTGAATTTCTATGAGTCATTAACTACGAAGGGACAGTCGTGATAGAACTAGTGTCATAAGTATATCTGAAGGCAAAGTAGTAGATTACTAAAATCTGATAGGTTTTTACAAAGCTTTGATTGACGTTTTTCTTTTTTGGAGGTGGAGAGGGCTATTGCTTAGTTTCAGCAATAACCACTCCCCCCATCTGGAGAAGAAAACAATTTAAGTGTATTATGGAGTTCAAATAATGAAACTGAAAGTCAAATTGACATTTTGTTTTACAGAACATGCTGGGGAGGTGACTAGGGCAGCAAAGGTTGGAAAGAATTACTAGCTAATTTCCTCTTCTGGAATCTCTTTGGCCCCTATTCTTTCGATTTCACACACCCTAGCCAGACACGCTCCACCTCGCTCCATACATGCCACAGGTATCAGATGGGGGTGGGGAGGAATCCCTTTGATCATATTTTTTTAAAAAGTTATTTGACTCGATTTACCTTAGGTGTCACGGGATTTAGGGAGGCAGTCCTGAGGGCCTGAAGCCAGCCACCCACCCACGCCTTCCTTCTGCAGTCCCGGTAACCTGGGCTAGGAGCCCCGGCCTGGCTATCCCCGCCAGGCGGGCGCGGCCTTCCCGCCCTCCCCAGCAGCGCCGGACCCGTGGAGAGTGGAGGGGAGAAAAAGGGAGGGGAGGGGAGAAAAAGGGAGGGGAGAGGAGAAAAGGGGGAGGGGAAAACCGCACAAGCTGTACCCACCGCGCCAAGAGAGCTGGCCCCAACCGCCCGCGGCGATCGGCTCGGTCCCGAGGGGAGGGTCCTGAAGGAGGGGCGGGCTGAGCCCCAGTCTGGAAAAGCCAACTCTGCTCTTCGGCCGGGTCCCTGCCTAGGTGAAGGAAACGGAAGTCCCTGCGTCTCCCTCACGCGCTTTCACGCGCCGGCCCTGGAGAAACCCCGAGTCTGGAAACCCGAAGTATGGCCACGTCAGGGACTCCAAGGACACACCGGGCGCGGTCCGTCTGTCTCCCAGCCCAGGCCGCGCCACAGGGCCCCAGCAGTATCCTTCCCACCCCCCTGCCGAGAGGTCAGCCTCCAGCCCTGCAAAGCCCCTCCTTCTTCCCCCGCCTCCGCCATTTTTGAACTCACCACTTGGGCCCAGGCGTCCCTCGATTAGAGCCGCCCCGCTCCGGGCGCTGCCAAGGTCCCGCCACTTCCCCGAGCCGGAAGGGGGCAGCAGGAAAAGACGAAACCCTCTTACCCCCCCCCCCCCCCCCCCCAGTTGGAAACCTGAACCTGTCCTAGCGGGCGCACATGCGCAGTGGACACCTAGTAGTGCCTGCCCACAGTGGCAGCGTTTCCTCTCTTAGCCTCCAGGGTGGTTTTTCCCACGGTTTTTACCTGCTAGGCTCTGGAGTTGAGAAATAAGGGAATAGAGGTAAAAGAAGTGAAGAAGAGAAAGGACAATGAGCTCAAATTTTGAGTTCTTACTATAGACCAGGTACTGTGCTAGTCATATAACGGTTCTTTGTTGTAATTTTGATAACCTTATAAGGTAGGCACTCTCTTATTAAACCCATTTTACAGAGGAAACTGAGGCCAGAGAGGATAATTATCCCAATATCACGTGGCCAATAAATGGGAGAACTGAGATTAAATCGGATCTGTTTCCAAGGAGGTAAGGTAAGGGTGAAAGGAATGACAAGAAAGGAAGACCCTGGGAGTCGCAGGGGGTTAGGATTGGGAAGTAACAGGAAAATTAATAGAGGAGAAAGAAAGCAGACGGAGAGGAAACAAAGGAAGTTTGTGTACATAAAATCTTATCATACCCGGTTTATTTCAAATATGTTGTAGGATTGTTTGATTGACATACGAATTTTTGTTTCAGGATCTTGGGCTTTTACAGGCTAGTGTAGTGAGATGATGGTTTCTGAATATTTTATTTCAAAGGGAAAGATAATAAGATCCTGCATTGTCAAATGATGTTTCCTTTCCCAAAAAGGGAACTTGGAGGGAGGGGAGGAAAGAATTTTCTTTTTGGTTCTTACGTGTTTGTTAAGATATTATCCCTTCTGATCACCTTTCACTGTCACATCTCAGAAATCCTCACATCTGATTTATTGCAATAATAGTAATTGTAAACAAATATTTTACTCATTTAATTCTCACAGAAATTGTATTTAGTATGTAAGTCATCCCTATTTTACAGATGAGGAACTGAGACTTAGAGAGGTTAGGTCACTTGCCCAAAGTCATGCTGCTAGTCTGTGTGGAAGCTAGAACAGTGATTCAAACCAGATCTGTCTGATTATGTT